CCTCTTCTACCTCATGTAGCATCTTGTAAGATTTTGTTAATTCATTTGTTTCATGCATGAGGTTGTTGATGTTGATCATGAGTCTTTCTAAGCAGCCCTGATTTTCTGGCATTGCTAATCTTTTACTTGTAGCTTCGGCTGTATCCAAAATATAGAGTTGAGCAAACTTCTGAGAAACACCATCCAAAAGATGTAAAGTTCCAGTACGGTGATAAACTTGTCTGTGTATTCTAAAATAGTATGGCCCATACCCTGATAGCGATGCAATATTTGCACCCATGGAAGCAAACGCAAAAGAACTATCTTTGGATCGAATATTTTTCATGAAATTTTTATGGTCAGAATCCTCGTTTGTCATTAATCTTTTTAAATATGCCGGGTAATCTGGAAAATGTATATCATTTGGACAGACTTTCCCTTTGCTACAACATCGAGTAAATTTACCATCAGATGGTTTTTCAACAGAGAAATTTAGGGATAGGCAAAATTCACATCGAACAGTCATTCCACCACAACTGTGTTCGAGAATTGCAACCTCATGTACTCCATGTTTGCTGAGCTACCTTGTATCAACTCCTGCAGCAGTCTTCCCTCACTTCTGCACAGGGCGGTATGTGCATGACAAATGCTGCTTTATCCTGATGGGAGACCTGTAAATAGAATCATGACACACAGGCAAAGAATTACAAGTACAATTACACTTTTTCTGACATGGCACAGGTTAATGTACATAACCTTATTTTACAGACACCCCCTACAGTGGTCAATCACCCTCCCTCCAAATACGTGTGCATGCACACACGCAGGCCGCTCTACAGAAAGTCACTCTTTGCTGTCATTACCCTGCATTTAGTTTCTTCATAGTTCTTAGCACTCAACTCAATTCATTGAGTCCTCTCCACTACAGTATAAGCTGCATAAAAGAAAGAACTTTGTCTGTCTTGTTCTTCCCTGCCCCTAGCACTCAGCATGCCAGGTGCTGTGACAAGTAGCGGGGATTCAATAAAAATTTGATGAATATACAGCAAGCTTCACATGGGGGCTGTAGGTGGAGGTTTCTGTTACAGAAACCTCTTCAGAGGTGTCAGTGGAGGATGTCCCATAACTGAAATATCTAGTGCAAGGCCAGTTCTTTAGTCGTTACAAACTGTTTTCATATAACCTCACAACAACCATGTGGTCAGTATTATTACTAGCTCTATTTTATAGATGAAGAAACTGACAGAAAGATTAAATGACTTGCCCACTTGGTGTGGCTCAGTGGTTGGGTATTGATCTATGACACTAGGAGTCACGATTCAAATCACGATCAGGGCACATGTCTGGGTTGCAGGGTTCCATCCACAGTAGGAGGTGTGCAGAAGGCAGCGATCAATGATTTTCTCTCCCTTTCCCTTCCTCTCTGAAATCAATAAAAAATTTGTTTTTAAAACAAAAGGTTAAGTGACATGCCGATAGTCACATAGCAATTGCCCGAATCCAAGATTTGAACGCACATCTGCCAGACCTTCAAGCTCCTAAGCTTTGTATTTCCTCATTCTTCTCTCACCAGGGTAAGGTGAAAATAGACTTAGGAATGACAACAGGAAACAATACAGAAAAAAAGTAATTATTGCCCTAGCTGGTTTGGCTCAGTGGATAGAGCGCCAGCGTGTGGACCAAAGGGTCCCAGGTTTGATTCCAGTCAAGGACACATACCTCAGTTGCAGGCTCTTCCCCGGCCCAGGCCCTGGTTGGGGCATGTGCAGGAGGCAAACCATCGATATGTTTCTCTGACATCGATATTTCTCTGTCTTTCCCTCTCTCTTCCACTTTCTCTAAAAATCAATGGAAAAATATCCTCGGGGGAGGATTAAAAGAAAAGAAAAAGTAATTATGATTTCACTCCCCGTGGATGGTAATTATGGATCTCATTATTCCAGAAACAGCACAAGCTAAGTCAGAAGTTAAAGAAGGATCTACAAATCCACAAATAGTAGATACACTATGTGTGCTTTAAGAATGCTTGGTGTAGCTTTTTCTGACCTCTTCAGATTGGCTGCCTGAAGGACAACCATGACCTTCCACACAAGTTCTCCCTAGAATTCCCCACCAGTGCTAAGGCACAAACCTCATGCTCATTAAATGAGGTAATAAGACGTTATGTGAAATTGTAAGTTTTGAAAGTGTTCATTTTCTTCAGTCTTCAATTATCACTTGTTATTTACTTGGGTATAAACTATTGCTACAGACTGAACTGTGTCCCACCCTCCCTCAAATTCATGTGTTAAAGCCCTAACCCCTAACATGAGACTCTTTTATTTGGAGTGAGGGCTTTTAGGAGGCAATTAACATAAAATGAAAAGGGTAATTAAGATTAAATTAAGGTATAACAGTGGGTCCTAATCCTTATTAAGATTGGTGGCCTTCTAGGAGTAAGAGAGAGCTCTCTCCTTACCAGCCATGTGAGGACAAGTACTAGTAAAAAAGGGACCGACCTTCTGCAAGACAGGAAAAGGGTCCTGGACAGGGAACAGATTAGGCTGGAACCTTAATCTTCGACTTCCCAATTTCTAGACCTGTAAGGAAAAAGAAAAGAAAAAAGAACTCTGGCCCTGGCCAGTGTCCCAAGTGGTTAGAGCATCAGCTTGCAGATCCAAGGGTCCTGGTCAAGGGTACCTGGGGTGCAAGTTCCCCAGTCCTGGTAGGGGCGGGAGGCAACCAATCTATGTTTCTCTCCCACGATGTTTCTCTCTCCCCCCCTCTCCTACTTACTTTCCACTCTCTCTAGAAATTAATGGGAAAATATCCTCAGGTGAGAATTAAAATACAACAAAAACAAACAAACAAAATACTCTGTTGTTTAAGCCACCCAATGTATGGCGTTTTGTTATGGCAGCCAGAGAAGACAGAAACAATTTAAAAGCACAATCCCCATTTTAAGCCCCTAAAACGCTTTAACTTCACACACCTGGGAGACAACACAGCCCCAAAAGAAAACCTTTTCTGCACCTACAGTTAATCCAGGCACAGCACCAGCGGGGCTGCAATGCTCCCACAGCAGGGGACATGGCCCAGCCTCCCACCTCCATCCTCAGAGCTCTCACATCCTGTAGGAAAAACCTGCTACTTGGTGTTTTTTCCACTTTTCATTGCACATCCTCCAACAATCTGGTCAATTCCATTCAACCGAACCCTTTTGACTGGACCCCATTCCACCTTGCTTTTCTGAAGGGCAGAGCCATTAACAGTATGGGCTCTGAGGTCAGGCTTCTAAATTTGGGACCCCAGCTGTATTCTTGCCTAAGTTAATAGCCCTAACCCTCAGTTTCCCCGCGCGTAAAGGAGAGACAGATAAAACTGCATTTCCATAGGCTGCAGTGACCACTAAATAAGTAACTTATAAAAAGCGGTTAGCACAGATGGGTTACTTTAGTCCCTGGTGCGTGTTAGTTATTATTACTCCAAAGCACCGCTCCAGTTCAACTGCAGATCCCGCCCTCACTCACCTCCCATTCGCCCTTGCACAGGTTTCTCGCCTATCAATCACACGTTAGCTCCGCCCCTCCATGCCGCAAAGGTTTTTCCCGCTCCCGACGCCCCCCGCCCCTCCGCAAACAGCCACTGGTTAGCACTTACACCGGAGGACGTCCTTTCTCATGTAGGTTCTCCTGTCCTAAGCTTTGTTACCCCGCGACACCGTGACCACTCTCTTCCCCGACAAGACAGCTTCGCTTCAGGCCAGGCGGCTGAGGTATCAGAGATAAGGTCGCTGAGCTTAAACGCGCGGCTCCGGCCGGTCCCCAGAGGAGCGTGCAGCGCTGCCACGCCCCGCGCCACTGCGCGTGCTCACTTGGGGACGTGGGCGTGGTCTTTTTTGCACCCCTGCGCTTGCGCGGCTGGCTCAGGGCGGGACTGTTTCCTGGCAGTAGGAAGGCTGCAGGTGATGGACCCTGGGCCAGCCTTTCTGACCACACACGGCCTTTGGGCTTAATGCCAACCTGCGATCTCCCTTGCAGTCCTGCCCGGTGCAGGATGTTTGATCCCCCGCCTATTGGCGCAGATGTTCTAACCTCCACAGATGATTGGCTTGAAGAAATGGCCTCATATTTACCAAAAACTGCAGGCAAAAAGGCTAGCAGAGAATTGAGAAACCAGTATTCTGATCCTCCCCCTTGCCAGGCCTTAATATGTGAACGTGTTATTTCTACCTCTGAATGGACAGTACTCGCCTCAACTGGGCTGTACTGGAACTTGGCCGTCTCTTTTTTTCCTATTTCAGTTGTCATGCAATATGATATTAGTTTCAGGAGTACAACAATACTGACTGGACATTTATGTAACTTACCTAGTGATCACACAATTAAATCTAGTACCCATCTGACACCATACTTACCTATTATAATGTTATTGACTTTCCTGTATGCTCTACTTTACTTCCTCTTGACTGTTTTTATAAGTGGCAATTTTTAAAATATATATTTTTATAGATTTCAGAGAGGAAGGGGGAGGGAGAGAGAGACAAAAACATCAATGATGAGAATCATTGATTGGCTGTCTCCTGCACACCCACTACTGGGGATCACCCGCAACCCAGGCATGTGCCCTGACTGGGAATCGAAGCTGGGACTCTGAGTCCAAAAGTGGATGCTCTATCCACTGAGCCAAACCACATAGGGCTATAACTAGCAATTTGTACTTAATTTCTTCACCTTTTCCCTAAACCGCGTTTCATCTGGCAACCAATGATTTGTTCTCTATGTGATTTTGTTTCTGTTTTGCTTGTTCATTTGTTATGTAAATTCCCCATATTAATGAAATCCTTTGTTGTTTGTCTTATTTCACTTAGAATAATACCCTCTCGGCCTATCCCTGTTGTTGCAAGTGGCAAGATTTCATTCCTTTTTATGATTGAGTAATATTCCATTATATATGTACCACATCTTCTTTATTCATTCTTTATCAATCTATGGATGGACACTTAGGCTGCTTCCATCTCTTGGTTCTTGTAATAATGGTGCAATGAACATAGGGCTGCATACATCTTTTCAAATTAGTGTCTTGGATTCCTTTAGATAAATATCCATAAGTTGATTTTTTGGTCATAAAGTAGTTCTATTTTAAATTTTTTGAGGACCCTCAGTACTGTTTTCTACAGTGGCTGCACCAATTTACAATCTCACCAACAGTGCACAAGGATTCCCTTTTCTACATCATTGCCAACATTTGTCTTTTGATTTAATGATGATAGCCATTCTGACAGGCGTGAGGAGATATCTCATTGTGGTTTTAATTTAATTTAATTTGCTTTCCCAGATGATTCATGATATTGAGCATCTTTTCATATGTCTAATAGCCATATGTATGTCCTCTTTGGATAAGTGTCTAATCAGGTCCATTGCACATTTTTAAATTGGTTTGTTTGGGGTTTTTTGGTGTTGATGTATCATTGGCAAATATGTTCTCCTGTTCAGTGGGTTGCCTTTTCATTTTGTTGATTGTTTCCTTTGCTGTGCAAAAAGGTTTTGTTTGACAGTCCCATTTCCTTTTTTTTTTTCTTGTTTCCCTTCCCCGAGGAGATAAACACCCCCCCCCTTCCCCCCCCCACCACACACACACACACACAAATTCATTAAGAGCAATGTCAAAGTGTTGACTGCCTATGTTTTCTTCTAGGTGGTTTATGGTTTCAGGTCTTATATTTAAGTCTTTAATCCATTTTTAGTTTATTGTTGGATATGTTAATAGAAAGTAATCCAGCTTCATTCTTTTGCATGCATCTCTCCAGTTTTCCCAACACCATTTATCGAAGAGACTGTCTTCACTGCATTGTATATTCTTGACTCCAATGTCTTAGATTAACTGAGTTGTGGGTTTATTTCTGGGCTCTCTATTATGTTGCATTGATCTGTTTGTCCTTTTATGCCATGGCATGCTGTTTTGATTACTG